CAGGTTCTTGGCCGCCCATCCTTATGCGCGCCTGCTCTTGGGCGTTCTAGTTGCCTTGGGTCGCAGGTTTGCGACCGGTTGTCTTGGCTTTGCGTTGCAGAGTTTGTGGCGGCCGCCTCCCGGGTTAGCCCTTTCTTTTCCTTCTCTTTGGGTATGAAGCTCCAGGGAGCCGTAGGGGCTCCCCACAGAAAACCAGCGTCGAATGTAATGAAACGCCATTATCTGGGTGAGCCCCGGAGGCTCCCTGGCAACCCTCCCTCCCACCGGTCGGCGGTTTTTTCGCGTTGGTTGAAGCTTAGCTTCTGAACTGGAGCTTGGCAGCTGGCGCAGTAGGTCTGGGGCTTCCCCCTACCCTTCCCGGGGCGGGGAGGGCTGCGTGGACGATCGGCGCGGCAGTAAAGTGTGATGTTTGCTTGTTTGCTGTTTCCTTGTGATTGTAGGGAGTTTCTACCTCTATGTTCGGTTTTTGTTTTAGTTTTTACCATGTGGGGTTTGTTTTGTTATGCCTACCTTTCTGGGTGCCTAACCCCGGTCGATGGCAGATAAGGAAAACCCCAACCACAAGGGGTTTTCCAGGGCCATTGCTCCCTGAAACCTCTCTGAAGGGGCCAGGTTCTGGCGCTGGTCCCTGGTAGGTCTGAACTCCTTAGCTAATGTCCCGGTCTAATATACATTAGCCCGATAAGCTCCAGGGAGCCTCCAGGGCTCACCCAGAAAATGGCGTTTCATTACATTCAACGCTGGTTTTTTAGGATTTCACTAATTTCTTTGTCATCCTCCGTGTATGAACCTTCACTTGTACGAATAGGTCCAATACTGGCAGTGGTTTTTGCTTTTGATTTCGCATATGTGAAGAAATATTTTGGATTTTTCTTTATTTCCTGAATTGCTTTCTGTTCTAACTGCCTTTCTTCAGTTTCATATGAGTGTTTCATTTTCCGCTCGATTTCTTTTATCTCCCTATTTAAATTATTCCTCTTTGACGGGAAATTCATGTCTGCATAAGCAGTTCCGTTATTTTTTTCCTGCGTTTATAGTATCGTCTGCGTTCTCTTTCTACGTTGGATCTCTTTCTGGCTTTCCTCAAAGGAACATGTTTCAGACAGACTTGATACGCTTCCGAAGTCAGTTTTTCTATTCCTTCTGTAGGACTTGTATTACTTAGAACAGTTTCCCATGGAATGTTTGTAAGTTCCCTGTTTATTATCTCCCAGTCTATCCTTTTATTATTAAAATTGAATTTACTGAATAGCCCCTCTCGCTTTATCAACGTTTTAGGTCTATTCTGAGTATTGATGGTCGTTTGCACTTCAATGAGCTTGTGATCTGAGTATGTGGTATCTGATATCGTAATGTCTCTAATAATGTCTTCATTGTTCGTAAAGACCAGATCTAGAATATTTTCATTTTTTGTTGGCTCCGATATCTGCTGATTGATTGAAAATTTGTCACAGAATCTAAGTAGTTCTCTAATCTGTGGTTGGTTAGGTCCTGATAGATTTCCTGGTATAATATTATTGTTTGCTATTCTCCACCTGAGACCAGGCAAGTTGAAGTCACCTAGGAAGATAATATCAGGTATCGGGTTCTCCAAATTATCAAGGCTATTCTCTATTTTGTTTATCTGTTCTGTGAATTCCTCAGCCGTTTCATCAGGCGGTTTGTATATTAGAATAATCACTAAATTTATTTTCTCTATTTTTAATCCCAGTACCTCTACCACCTCATTTGAAACGTTAACCCTTAAACTGCGCAACGCGCCTGCAGGCTCACGTCTGGTTTGCGCAACGCGCCTCCGGGTATTTGTATTTTTCACGTTCCATTCAAAACTCCCGCGGCTACATGGGGTTCACATCAGCTTCCTCAGGGCTCTTGTAAACAGACGCCATCTTAAAAAAAAATCGTGGTCCACATTCCCGGGTGTGGGAGCCTCAGTAGTGTGTGAGCAACCAAGGCTGGCGCTCGCAGCATGAGCGCACAGCACTGCTGTTCAGCATGTGACCACAGCATCGCCTAATAATGTCAAAATATATATATAACTTGTATTATTTAGCTATGATAGTGTTATATTAGAGCCTGAGTGTGATAATGACTGGGTACAATGTTCAAATATCAGTGATTCAATGCTGTTCACGATGTTCACAGCGCTAGCCACAGCACCACAGCATTATTTCGTTCATCTAGGAATCTTCAAATGATTTCTTAGGTTCCTTTTCAAAATAAACGTGTGGTCAATTATTCATTTACAGGAATTAGTGACCAGGATTGTGATAATAGCAGGAATGTGGTTATAATTAGCGTTGTGCGTAGTATTGTGGAAGGAGGAATTTTGATGAGGGAGGGAGGGCGAGAATTGAGGAAGCCTCATTGTGTGTGTGGCTGCCACTCTTGTTTTGCTCACCATACTAGCTTAGTGGTTCGCTATGGGCAACACATATGTACATGGGTATATATAGTGTAAGAACAGCAACAGGAGAATGTTGAGGAGCTATTTTGGTGAGGGAGGTGACGTAATCGTAGCGTCGTCTGCTGTGTGATTTTTCATGCAGTGTATGGTGGCCACTGTACTGTTTGGACACAATACCGGCTTACTTACATAGTTCTGGTAAATAAAACATGTAGATAGGTATATAGAACATGTGTAATAAGAACTATAACAATATGGTGGGAGGAGCAATGTTGGCGAGTAAGATGTTGGAGTGAGGGAGACAGGCTGGGTGTGGCTGCTCTCACTCGAGGTGTTCTGAATGTGTTGATGGCCAAATGCTCTTGTTGGCCCATACGAGGCAGCTGCTATTGGCCCATACGAGGCAGCTGCTGTTGGCCCATACGAGGCAGCTGCTGTTGGCCCATACGAGGCAGCTGCTGTTGGCCGATACGAGGCAGCTGCTGTTGGCCGATACGAGGCAGCTGCTGTTGGCCCATACGCGGCAGCTGCTATTGGCCCATACGCGGCAGCTGCTATTGGCCCATACGCGGCAGCTGCTATTGGCCCATACGCGGCAGCTGCTATTGGCCCATATGCGGCAGCTGCTATTGGCCCATACGGGGCAGCTGCTATTGGCCCATACGGGGCAGCTGCTCTTGGCCCATACGGGGCAGCTGCTGTTGGCCCATACGGGGCAGCTGCTGTTGGCCCATACGGGGCAGCTGCTGTTGGCCCATACGAGGCAGCTGCTGTTGGCCCATACGAGGCAGCTGCTGTTGGCCCATACGAGGCAGCTGCTGTTGGCCCATACGAGGCAGCTGCTGTTGGCCCATACGAGGCAGCTGCTGTTGGCCCATACGAGGCAGCTGCTGTTGGCCCATACGAGGCAGCTGCTGTTGGCCCATACGAAGCAGCTGCTACGCGGTGTTCTGAATGTGTTGATGGTGAATGTATATAGTGTGTAAGTAGATTGTATATATACACAAATTAGCATGATACATAGTAAATATGTGCTGCATATGTGTACACAAGTTTCATGCACGTAACACAGTGTCTACGGACAGTACGGATGTTGTACTGCGATATTATAGTGTATGTGTTCATTATACATTGGATTGGCACATAAAAACAATGAAAATGTATTTGGAAAGGTGCGCAAAAAATGAACGAAAATATATTCGCGGCAACTCGCGCGCCCCGCCCCGAGCGCCCCACCGCCCCTGAGAGCTTACGGCACGGGCGCACGGGGAATGATGACGTCACGCCCCAACTTCCGGACCCCATAGCAGCCAAAGTAAGTACAATTTCGCCTTTTTTTTTACATACCCATACTGAGGGAAGGGTTTTTGACACTTTAAAAAGAAAAAAGAATTTTTTCCAGAGAATTTATTTCCTGCGCACTGCGGGGGTGTCACATTTGGAGGCAACGCAGTTAAGGGGTTAAGGAGCTCCGAGCATACAAGGTCTTCCCTAATATACAGACCCACTCCTCCATGTGACCTAATTTTCCTATCACACCTGTATAGGTTATATCCTGGAATCCAGATCTCACTGTCCAACAATTCCCCTGCATGGGTTTCTGTGAAAGCTCCAAATACTGCATTTGACTCCGTGAGGAGGCCATTTATGAACTGTACTTTGTTGTTTGTTCTTGTTTTCAGTCCTTGTATGTTGGCAAAGATGAATGAGGTTACTCTATTAGTGATAGTTTGACTGGGAAAATATGAAATGAAATACTATGAAAATAAAAAATACTATGAATATAATATATACTATGAAAAATAAAATATACTATGAAAATAAAAAAGTTATTTAAGAAAATATTTCACTAATGGTGCGACAATTTGACGCCGCACTGTTTGAGGTGTATAACACGTAACTTGTCTTTAACTGTTAGGACAACTTTCTTCCTCTTAACACCTCCAGAACGATTGATGCTGCTACCAGACATAGTCTTGGCCAAAAATGTTCAAAGTTACTATGAAAATAAAAAAGTTATTTAAAAAAATATTTCACTAATGGCGCAGCACTGTGTATAACACGAGGGACGGACACACATGGGTTGACCAGTGTTGGACGGGTCCACTTGGGGCAGCTATAGCACGTTACGTAGGCCGCCAGGAGGAAAAAACTCACAATATTTTTGAAGGAAACTTTGGCCTGTGCACCTTGCTTTTAGGAAACTTATTTATTTGTTATTACATAATTACTAGTACTTATTTAATTTATTTTTGGCTATGATTAATTGTTCTAAAATTAATGGTAATTCCTGTACCCAGGTGGTCCCTCTCGACGCTCCCCTCCCACCCTCCCAACACCACCCACCCACCCCACCCCCTCCTCCACCATGCGTCTAGAGCCACAGACGGGATTAATACGGTATGGCTGAATTCTCATCCGGCCAAACCAGCTTTTATCCGGTTCCTGTGGCCATTTTGGCCGGATATTGTGATAACTTTATCCGATGACGATTTTGGCCGTATAAGGGCATTTTCCGGATGTTTGAATCCCGGATAATCGCGGGGTTACAGTATAGTGAATAAAAGTTACTAAATTGATGTTGAATTTTCAGGGCCCCAAATGATAACTTTTCACCAAGCAACCTTCATACTGTGAGAGATAATGTTTATCTTCATTTGTTTGATGAGGTCATTCATGATCTGTTAGAAGATGATCGCCTGAGGGATTCAACGGTTTATCATCGCATAGAGAAACGCTGGCTGGGCTCCCTCAAGATCCCCTTCTCTACAATATATTCTAATGCCAAGGTATTGATTCCTCTTGTACAATTTGTAATTTAAATCCAAAGCAAAAACCTAGCATTAAATGTAATGAAACACATCATACTGGTGGGTCCAAGGTGGCTCCTTATTGCTAGCCAATTTGGAGAGCTTAACATATGTCAACTCACACGAGGCCCTTGTGAGTCATTAATAGTCTAGTGGAGACTAGAGGCTAAAACCTGGTCTCCCTCAGAGGCTCATAGGACACAAGATCACTAATACCAGTCATACCAGTCAGACACCAGATCACCAGTCTCCGTGGTGTAATGGTAAGACACTCGCCTGGCATTCTGCGAGCGCTTGTCATGGGTTCGTATCCTGGCCGGGGAGGATTTACTGGGCGCAAATCCTTAATTGTAGCCTCTGTTTAACTCAACAGTAAAATGGGTACTTGGTTGTAAAAACGATTCTTCACGGCGGGGATCGTATTCCAGGGACCTGCCCGAAACGCTACGCATACTAGTGGCTGTACAAGAATGTAACAACACTTGTATATATCTCAAAACAAAAAAATAGAGAAAATAGCCACCAGAAAGATACAAAAACAACAGCAAGGCAAAGAAAACAAAATAGAAAATGAGATCCCAGCAGTTAGGTAGTCCCACCTCTAGTCCCACCTCTAGTCCCGCCTTTAGTCCCACCTCTAGTCCCACCTCTAGTCCCACCTCTAGTCCCACCTCTAGTCCCACCTCTAGTCCCACCTCTAGTCCCGCCTCTAGTCCCGCCTCTAGTCCCACCTCTAGTCCCACCTCTAGTCCCACCTCTAGTCCCACCTCTAGTCCCACCTCTAGTCCCACCTCTAGTCCCACCTCTAGTCCTGCCTCTAGTCCCACCTCTCTGCCAGCAGGTGGTTGCACTGGAAGCTAGTGGTTGAGGAGATGATCCACTCCAATCATGAGCAAAACGAAGGTTAACAAACTTCTGAAGGGGAGAGAACTTGATAAACATCTCCAAAGGATGCTTGATCAACCAGCCTGTGATTCATATGTCAGGCTGTGAGCAGCCATGTCTAGCAGCCTGGTTGACTATACCATCAACCAGGAGGCCTGGTCAGAGACAGGGCCACAGGGACGTTGACTCCCGAAATCAACGCAAAGTAACCATAAGATAAGGTGTTTCGTTTCATTCAATGTTGGGCCTCGGTTAGAGCTCGAAGGAGATTCCCCTGTTGCCCTTTCACCTCAGAGAATAAATAAACAGAATAATGTATCTCACCAGGAGAGATCAGCAGCAGATAATAATCCCCAATAAAGGGTAATCAGTGATGGGTAACTCTACCCAGTGCCAAATAAACCCTGCAAGGCCCCAGTACATTGACCAGATAACATGGTGCCAAAACCCCTAGCAGTGTGCCACATCTCTTGAGCTGAGTATCAGTCCCAGGCATAGTGGAAAAAATAGCTGACATGACCATAAACTTATGAACAACATGGGCCTGAGGATAAACCACAATCTGGCAAAATTGAAGACATTGCAGATGACCTGGGACAAACGGGCTTTGGAACAAGGAACCAAAGACACCATATTCACAAATAATGTATTACCCAGAGCCTGCCTAGGGGTGCAAAATTACTGACAGGCAACTGCAACCAAATACTCGACACAAGATGAAGTAGCCCCAGCAGAACAAACCAAGAATTAACTGGACCTCTTTGAAAGCATGCTCACTCATTCCTAGTCAGAAAAGGAGAATGCTGCAAACAAAGAAACTGCCAGTTCAAAAATTGTAAAAAAAAAAAAAACTTCCGGGCAAGAAACTCTTCAACCCTACAGCCAGAAGTGAGAGTCAACAAAAATAAAGTCTTTAGAAAAAGTCTCAGACTGAAGGGGAGACCAAGAACTGAGATGAGGAATGAAAAACCATAACACACTCCAAAAACTAAGAAGGTTCAGGAGGAGGAGCAAACTGGAGGTGAAAGAATGCCCTAGACAACTGTGAAACAGTGTCAAAAAAGTTGATGTCGAATGCCACAAAAAAAAAAAAAAGCTCTGCCAATGCTAAACATTATGAGGCATCAGTCTTCAGCATAAGATGTCGATTAACAAAAAATTAATTGCAACATACTGTCCCAAGACCAAAGCCATTGATGGGACAGCAAAAGTCCGGAAATTCTGGAAATTCAAGGAAATTCTGACCAATTCTTTTTCTTTGGCTCAGCCTTTTTCAACGGAGTAAATTTGGACACCGGATAAGAAGGACTGGAACCCAAGGCTGAGCAAGTCATAAAGGAGTTAGGAGCATTACCTCTCCCACCAAACATCTTCAGTCAGGAAAGCAATTGGAGCATGCCAAACCAAAGTGAACTGAGCTATGTGTCTAAGGAAGTGTCTTGCCCAATGACTCTGAAAGGCCTGATGAGTGCTGGTCACAATGTCCCATTCTAGGACATGCCAAAATAGGGAATGTCATTACATTTGATGCCTGCTTTTTAAATGTACAGCTGTGCCAATGGACATATAAAGTTAAAAAAAAATGGCAGTCTAGTAATACTAATAATCATACGTTTTATTTTTCAGATAGAGGGAACATTTTCTTTGGAGGAACCAGTGGTTCTACTGGGCTACACCCGAGATGCTGCCTCACCACATAACCTGGGTGCTCCAGCATCTCAAGGAGTACCTAACAGGTCCACTACTCATTTGTCAATCTACATAACTTTGGAGCCTACTCTGCCTCCTCCAGAGCCTCTTAAGGTTGGTTTCTGCATTTATCACCATATGATTACTAATGATAAACGCCTGGGAAAGTAAGTTGATGAACTAATAGTGTTGTAATGTTGTTGTAGCAGTGAGTTGCTGTGTTATGTCCATGTGTTGATGTACAGTATGTTGCTACAGCAGTGTTAAATGTTGTAATGTTGTTGTAGCAGTGAGTTGCTGTGTTATGTCCATGTGTTGATGTACAGTATGTTGCTACAGCAGTGTTAAATGTTGTAATGTTGTTGTAGCAGTGAGTTGCTGTGTTATGTCCATGTGTTGATGTACAGTATGTTGCTACAGCAGTGTTAAATGTTGTAATGTTGTTGTAGCAGTGAGTTGCTGTGTTATGTCCATGTGTTGATGTACAGTATGTTGCTACAGCAGTGTTAAATGTTGTAATGTTGTTGTAGCAGTGAGTTGCTGTGTTATGTCCATGTGTTGATGTACAGTATGTTGCTACAGCAGTGTTAAATGGATTGGCTGCAAAGATGACAAATATTTTGAAATATTTTAACTTAAGGAATTATTATTGCAAGATAATTTATTAAAATAGTAAATAGCACACTAATGCAAATATTACTCTTCTTTCTGAAGAAGTACTTGGTTGCTTCCCAAGCCAACATATTTGTCTTTAGCTGACCCTGTACTGATGTCATGGCCCTTTGTGACCTTTGTCTCACCATCACAAGTACTTATTCAAACCATTTTGCCAATGGTAATTGGGGAGACAACCCATAGAGTATGTTCAGTCCTCTATTAGAGCAGCCACTCATTATGAGACAATAGACAAAAAACACTTAACCCCACTTCCAAATTATAATTGGGACAGCAGGTCAGTCAGAATTTTGCAAACTATAGATTCTGAGTTACACGTCACCTGAACACCACCAGGTGGTCAGCACAATGGTTTGGTTCAACAGAAATTGCGAGAGGGCCAGAGACCAAAAGACAAAAAAATGGAATCAATACAGGAAGAAGCCAAACCCCCAAACATACCAGCGATACAATGATGCGAGAAACAACTATACGGCAGTAAGGAGAGAGGCAGAAAGAAATTTTGAAAAAGGGATAGTGGATAAATGTGAAACAGAACCTGACCTATTCTACAAATTCATAAATAACAAATTGCAGGTAAAGGATAATATCCAGAGATTGAATATCGGAAACAGATTCACAGAAAATGAAAAGGAAATGTGTGAAACATTAAACGAAAAGTTCCAAAGTGTGTTTGTACAAAATAAAATCTTCAGAGAACCAGACACAATAAGAATTCCGGAGAACAACATAGAGTGTATAAAGGTGTCTAGAGATGAAGTGGAAAATATGCTAAAGGAGCTCAGTAAGAACAAAGCAGCTGGCCCAGATGGAGTTTCACCATGGGTTCTGAGAGAATGTGCATCTGAACTCAGCATTCCACTTCACCTGATCTTTCAGGCATCCCTGTGTACAGGAGTTGTAGCAGACGTGTGGAAAAAGGCTAACATAGTTCCAATCTACAAAAGTGGCAGCAGGGAAGACCCCCTTAATTATAGACTGGTATCATTGACAAGTGTAATAGTCAAAATATTGGAAAAAATAATAAAAACTAAATGGCTAGAACACCTGGAGAGAAATGACGTAATATCAGACAGACAGTATGGTTTTCGATCTGGAAGATCCTGTGTATTGAATTTACTCAGTTTCTATGATCGAGCCACAGAGATTTTACAGGAAAGAAATGGTTGAATTGACTGCATCTATTTGGACCTAAAAAAGGCTTTCGACAGAGTTCCACATAAGAGGTTGTTATGGAAACTGGAAAATATTGGGGGGGGGATGACAGGTAAGCTTCTAACATGGATGAAAAATTTTCTGACTGATAGAAAAATAAGGGCAGTAATCAGAGGCAATGTATCGAACTGGAGAAATGTCACAAGTGGAGTACCACAGGGTTCAGTTCTTGCACCAGTGATGTTTATTGTCTACATAAATGATCTACCAGTTGGTATATGGTATATATGAACATGTTTGCTGATGATGCTAAGATAATAGGAAGGATAAGAATCTTAGATGATTGTCATGCCCTTCGAGAAGACCTAGACAAAATAAGTATATGAAGCACCACTTGGCAAATGGAATTTAATGTGAATAAATGCCATGTTATGAAATGTGGAATAGGAGAACATAGACCCCAGACAACCTATATATTATGTGAGAAATCATTAAAGAATTCTGATAAAGAAAGAGATCTAGGGGTGGTTCTAGATAGAAAACTATCACCTGAGGACCACATAAAGAACGTTGTGCGAGGAGCCTATGTCACGCTTTCTAACTTCAGAATTGCTTTTAAATACATGGATGGCGAAATACTAAAGAAATTGTTCACGACTTTTGTTAGGCCAAAGCTAGAGTATGCAACGGTTGTGTGGTGCCCATATCTTAAGAAGCACATCAACAAACTGGAAAAGGTGCAAAGACATGCTACTAAGTGGCTCCCAGAACTGAAGGGCAAGAGCTATGCGGAGAGGTTAGAGGCATTAAATATGCCAAAACTAGAAGACAGAAGAAAAAGAGGTGATATGATCACTATGTACAAAATAGTAACAGGAATTGATAAAATCGATAGGGAAGATTTCCCGATACCTGGAACTTCAAGAACAAGAGGTCATAGATTTAAACTAACTAAACAAAGATGCCGAAGAAATAAAAGAAAATTCACTTTTTCAAAATTTTCAAAATTCGCAAACAGAGTGGTAGACGGTTGGAACAAGTTAAGTGAGAAGGTGGTGGAGGCCAAGACCGTCAGTAGTTTCAAAGCATTATATGACAAAGAGTGCTGGGAAGACGGGACACCACGAGCGTAGCTCTCATCCTGTAACTACACTAAGGTAATTACTTGGGTAATTACAAGCTGCATCTCACTATTGGGAAGCCATTAAACCTCATTGGAAACTGAGGCATATAAAAACTAGCATTGAAAGTAATGAAAAGCCCCTTTCTGGATGAGCCCTGGTGGCTGCATAAAGCAAAGGTGGCTCCTTACTACTAGGAGTCAGAACCTGACCCCCCACACACAGGTGCTAGGAGCAGGTGACACTCTGCCACCTCACCTCCCCTCATGGGGAGTTCTATCCTCTTGTTCGGCTTTGGTAGCAATTCTTAACCAGAATGGGGGGGGGATGTTTTGGGGCACCTATCTTTCTGGGTGGCCGACCCGGTCTATGACAGACATAAAGTACTTCTAAATTATATATAAGGTGTCTCTATAGGCCATTGCACCTCGCGCCTCTCTGAGGGGGCCAGGTTCAGGTCGTTGGTCCCCGGTAGGCATAGAATTCCATGTACGTTAACTGATGCCCAAAGCTAATACTCCATATCAGCCCAGATAGCTCCAGGACGCCTCTGGGTCTCGCCCAGAAAATTACATTTAAATACATTTAATGCTGGATTTTTCTGGGGGGAGCCCCTACGGCTTCCCAGAGCTATCCAGGCTGATGAGGATACCCTTAACTTTTGGCATCAGTTGATGTGGGTGGAGTTCTATGCCTACAGGGGACCACGACCAGAACCTGGCCCCCTCAAAGAGGCACGAGGAGCAATGGCCTATAGAAATGCACATGTGATTGTGGAGCATTCTATAAATGCCATCGACCGGGACAGGCACCCAGAAAAGTAAGCGCCCCTAAACAATCCCCTATTCTGGTTAAAAACGACGAAAATAGACAAACGAGTGGATAGAACTCCCCCAATTGAAAACGAGTAAACAAGCATGACGTCACATGAGCCGTGCTGCATGTCTGCACAGCTCCCCCTTTCCCGAGGGGGAAAGGGGGAGCTCCAGACTCCCGCACCAATGATCCGCCCTTCAGTTCTTCGGCTGATGAGACACGACACGGTCGTGTGGCTCCAGCTCCAGTCTTTTGTGCTGTGCTATCCTCTGTTTCAGTACTGCTCTTACGGTGGTGTGCGAGCTGGGAGTAATATTCACAGGTACTCGGGCTGCATGTTCTTAGGGTTCCCTTCCCTAAGTGCCCTGTAAGTACTGCCCTTGGGGCTTGTCACAAGTCACCTTGGGTCTACCTCTGTTGGTCTTTTGCTGCTTGGCGATTGACCACCCCGAGTGTGTTGGGGGGTTTCCTCCCTTGTTTACCTTGGGTAAGTGGTAGTTTTTGCACTGATGGGGCACAGGGTAGTGCGCAGCTAGTTTTCACCTATAATAGTGGCCTGCTCTGTTCCTTCTGGGGACGTTGTCCTCTTGCGAGGTTTTTCTTTTCCTTTTGTTTTTGCCTGGTGGGGGGGGGTCTGCCTTGATGTCTCCTACCCCCCTGTTATATTAGGGTTTGCTTATTGTATGGTGGTACCCCCTGCTTCGCCCTCGTGAGTGGACACGTTCCATGGGTTCAGCTTTAGCAGTGTTGTTTGGTAGCTTGGGAGCCGGTTAGCAGTAACCTGCTTGGGATAACCCTTAGCAGACCCAGTATAGGGGCCCTGGGAAACCCCTCGGGGACACTCAGGTCCGATGGATGCGACCCCTGTGTCTCCTCTCGCTCTGTGCGAATTTAAGGGTTGCTCTGTCCCTTTGTCTCAGGGCGACGCTCATTGTTTTTGCCTCCGTCATGCTGCCAGTTGGGTCAGTGACACCTTCGACCCAGAGTTCTGCGAGCTTTGTTGCTCCTTCTGAAGGTTTTCGGCTTCCCGCATCTCATCTGCTGAGGTGCGGGCAGCCATTGCAGCTTACCTCCAGCGAGTATGCTTCTATAATGGATCCATCTTCCTTCAGGTATGGGTCTTCGTCTCCATACTGGGTTCGCTATGAGGTTCCGTAGTCATCCTGGCTTGTGAACTGCTCTATGTTCTCGCTGGATGCTTGGGACACCTTCTGTCATACCCACACACTTGAGTGGCGCGAGGTGTTGACTGTGGTCCAGGGTTATCTGGGGGGCGACTTTGCACACCTTAATGAGGGCCTTTTCGCTCTGGCCCTTCTAAGGGATGTTGGCGCGGTTCAGCTTCTGGTACAGGTTTCTTTCCTGTCAGCTACACTTGTGGCTGAGTACTTGCATGCTCATTGCTCGTTGGCTTCGGTCATGCATTTCTTTTCCCTCATTGAGCTGTCTTAGGATTGACTTGCGGAGGATGTAGAGGCACTTGGGGCCGTTCCTGGGTCTGGCGCCTTGGTCTCGGCTGCTCGTACATCGTCTGCACTTTTGAAGCTGTTTGCGCCGATGCTGTGGGATGCGCTGTTGTGGTTTTTCGCTGCACATCTCACGTGTCGGCAGGCAATGCTAGCTTCCTCCTTCGAATCCGCTTGGGCCCTGGCTCTTAGATTGTCCTCACCCATTAGTCCTTTGTTGTTTGCGGCCTCTGTGGTTGAGAAATATATGCGTGCGACTTCTTCCAGCTGCAGCCCAATGTCTGACTTGTTGGTTCTCCGGGGATCCCGGGTGGGTTCCTCCCATAGGGTTCGTGCCAGGGCCCACAGTTCCACTCGTCGGGGTGAGCCACAGGTACTAGTTTCAGAGCCAGTGCCGCCTTTGGTCCTGGCTGCGTCTGGTCGGCTCGGTGATTCTGTGCTGTTTGCTCTGTGCGCAGGTTGGGTTCTCGTAAGGGGCGTCAGCCCTTTCGCTGTTCTCCCCATTGATGGAGTGATAGGGGAGGAGGCTTGCTCTGTTCGCTCACACCTGGTCTCACGATTTGTGGGCTTTTTAGGTAATTTCTCGTGGCCTGCAGTAGAGTTGGGTGGCTCCTCCTCCTTCTAGGGGTTCGGAGCTGACAGGGCAGGCCTCCTCTCCTGCGCACTGGCAGGTTGTCTTCGAGTTGGTGCGCTTGGGCGTGGTTGAAACGACGACGTCCCTCAGGTGGGTTTCTTGCCTGTTTCCATTTCCGAAATGGGACTGTGCGAACCTGCGGTTCATTCTGGACTTGTCCCATCTGAACCCCTGGGTTTCTTGCCCCTCCTTTCGGATGATCACTTTGTCCCAGGTCCGACTTCTGTTGAAGCCGGGCAGTTGCATGGTGTCCCTGGACCTCAAGGATGTGTATTGGCACGTCCTGATTCATCCGAGGTTCAGGGGCTGGTTCGGGTTTGTTGTTGGGCGTCAGAGTTATCCCTTTCATTGTCGCCCTTTAGGGTTGAGTCAGGTACCTCACATGTTCACACGCTTTACCTGGGTCTGTCTGCTTCTGTTAGGTGTTCGGGTGTTGGCTTACCTCGATGACTGACTGGTTTGGGCTCCCAATAGGTCCTTGAGTCTGCTCGCCAGGGGTTTGGTGCTTTCCCAGCCGGCTGAATTCGGGTTCACGGTGAAGTGGCAAAAGTCCCATCTGGTTCCCTCCCGGGTTCGGACCTGGCTTTGTCTTGTGTGGTACTCTCGGACCGCTTCCTAGTCTCTTCCTCTGGAGTCTCTCCTTTGGCTGTGGTCCCGCATGCACTTGTTTTTGGAGGGTTCCCAAGTCACCCGGCGGTTGCTCAAGGGTCTGTGTGAGAGCCTGAACTTTGCGATGATGGTCTACCCACCGGGTCGGGTTTGGCTTCATCGGCTGTTCTGGTTCCTTCAGGGACGTCCCTTCTGCCTCTCTCCCGACCACTGGGTTCGACCCCCGGTGGCCTTGCGTTGGCTTGCTGTGTCGTTGGCTTCCTCTTTGGGTTTTTCGGGGTTCATTGCCATGGCGCCTACCCAAGCCCTCGCTCGATGTGTTCACGGACGCGTCCTCTCTCAGCTGGGGCTTTGTGACCAGTGCTCACCAGGCTGGCCAGGGGCGGTGGGGTCCGTCCTTCTGTCAGGCCCACAGCGCGGTGTGGTTTGCACTTCGGAGGGGTTAGGTTGCCCGCAGATCAACAATCCGGCTCCATTTGGACTGCTTCCCGGTGGTTCATTGCCTGCACCGGGATGGGGGGGATGGTGGGATTCGATGCGGTCATAAGCTCTATGGGGCTGGTCGCTTTGAGTGACTCGTCTGCTGAGTTCTCGGGGTATGGCTCTCCTGGAGGTTCTTGTCCAGGGGGGGGGGGGGGTATCTAACATCCTGGTGGACGGCCTGTCCCAGTTCATTCCCCTGTCCACGGAATGGACGGTCAATGCCGACTCATTCGGTTGGCTCTGCCAGACATTCGGTCTCCCGGAGGTGGACTTCTTCGTGTTTGTGTGGTCGAGGCGTCTTCCGTTATATGTGGTGCCCTTCCCCAACCACGAGGTTGTTGGGATCAACGTCTTCCAGCAGGACTGGTCGGGTGGGGGTTCCTTTACCTCTTTCCCCCGGTTCAGCTGTTGCTTCAAGTCCTGGCTCGCTTGGGGACTTACCAGGGGCGAGTAATTCTCTTGGCCCTGTGATGGCCAGCCCAGTCGTGGTTCAGGCGCTGCTTGCCCGGTATCCAAACCCGGAGGTTTTTCCACGGCTCTGCCTCTTTCAACTGATCGGCCCTGTTCGTTACGAGACTGGTTCGCTCTTCTCCTCGAGTCTTCGCGTTTGGTATTTTTTGACTCGGGTTTACCACCATTTGTATGGTGATCAAGTTGCTTCATTGATGGTGTCCCACCTGCAGGCTTCGTCTCGGCAACAGTATGAAGTTTCCTGACAGTCCTTTCGTATCTTTTAGACTCTTCGTCGTTGTACTTCGCTTTCGGTTCAGGTGGTGTTGTCCTTTCTCTTGTGGTTGTTCCAGGACTGTCATCGTATGCCGAATAATGTCGCTTCGTATCATGTGGCACTGGCGAAGTCGCTGCAGCTTTCTTTTGGTATAGATGTCATTTCTGCGTCATATAGCAAGCTGTCTCGTGTGTTGCTTCACCTCCGACCAGCTTATGTGCCGCCTGAGCCTTCTTGGTCTTTGGGCAGAGTGCTCTCTTACCTCTCTTCTCCTCGGTTTGTTGTTGGCTCTTCAATTCAGGATTGTTTGTCTAAGGCTCTTTTCCTGTTGGCATTGGCCTCTGAGGGCCGGGTCGGGAAGCTTCATGCTCTCCTCCGGCGCAGGGGTTTCTGCTCTTTTGATCGTGTTGATAGATTTGTTCATCTGCAGCCATCTCCTTCTTTTCTGACGGAGAATGAGATTGCTTCCTTCCGGAGGGGTCCTTGGGTCGTTGATGCTTGGTTGGTCAGGCCGGGGTTCATCATGTGTTGTGTCCAGTTGCATCCCTCCACCATTATTTGTGCACAACGGCTTCTGTGTCCGGGGACTTGTTTTCGGTTGATCCGGTTTCCATTCTTCTTTGTTCGTGGGTACGGGTCTCTCAGATTGTCCACAGGGTTATTAAGTCTAGCCAGCCTGTGGTCTATCCCCATGCCCATGACGTTCTTAAGTTTGCTGCTCTTGCGGCTGTCTTTGGTAACATGTGCTGGGCTGACATTCGGGCGCGGGGCTTTTGGTGGTCGAACAGGGTCCTGGCTACACGCTACCTCCTTAACGTTCCTGGGCCTAATCGAGCCTGTGTTGCTTTGGGTCGGTAGCTGCAGCCTGTCTCGACTTTGAGTTGAGATGTGTAGCACCGACTGCCTCCCGGGTAAGTACTCCTTTTTCATTTTAGTCTTTGGTGAAGTAGTTCCGGGACCAGTAGGGGTTTGCCCCAGAAAACCAGCATTGAATGTAATGAAATGCCATTTCCTGGCCGAGTCCTGGAGGCTCCCCGGCAACCCTCCCTGCCTCCGGTCGGTGGTTTTCGCGTATTTTGATATCCAGTTTGAGAACTGCAGGGTGGATCGCCGGCACGGGGGTCTGGGGCTTCCCCTTTTCCCTCTCGCGGAGGGAAAAGTTGCACAGACATGCGGCGTGACTTATGTGATGTCATGCTTGTTTGCTCGTTTTCAATTGGGGGAGTTCTGTCTACTCGTTTGTCTATTTTTGTCGTTTTTAACCTGAATAGGGGTTTGTTTTGGGGCGCTCACCTTTCTCGGTGCCTGTCCCGGTCGATGGCAGATATAGAATGCTCGACAATCACATGTGCATTTCTATACGCCATTGCTTCTCGTGCCTCTCTGAGGGGGCCAGGTTGTGGCCGTGGTCCCCGGTAGGCCTAGAACTCCACCCACATCGACTGATGCCAAATTCGAAAGAGATACATATCAGTCTGGATAGCTCCAGGGAGCTTCCGGGACTCGCCCAGAAAATGGCGTTTCATTACATTCTTTGCTGGTTTTTGTGTGTCTAGAGTAGTTGAGATTTGAGTAATGGAATTCACTAGAATGTGATGTGGTGGAGGTGGACTACATAGATATTTTAAAATTTAGTTTTGATAGAGCCCAATAGGCTCAGGAACGTGTTCACCAAGTTAAGTGAGAAGGTGGTGGAGGCCGAAACCATCAGTAGTTTCAAAGGGTTATATGACAGAGTGCTGGGAAGACGGGACACCACGAGCATAGCTCTCATCCTGTAACTACACTTAGGTAATTACCAGTTGATTGACAGTTGAGAGGCAGGATCAAAGAGCTGTGTTTAATCCCCACAAACACAAGTAGGTAAGTAATTACCTAAGTGTAATTACAATTACAATTAGGTGAGTACAATTAGTAAGTACAATTAGTACAATTAGTAAGTACAATTAGGTGAATACAATTAGGAAGTACAATTAGGTAAGTACACTTATGTGAGTGATTGATGAATGATGGCAAAAGCTAACTTACAGGTAAGTGCAGAAAATAGTAGGCTGAGTGGAATCAAAAGTAAATTAAAATGTATTGAATAATGAAAAGTTTAATTTCATGAAAGGTGCCTGAAGGAAATTATGATTAAAGAAGCAAGTTTAATGTGGTCATGAACAGTTATGTACATTTGCTCTTATTTATTCAAAGGCACAATTTGAATCGAGTGAGCCAGAGGAGGTGTTAGCAGCTAGTCGTGATTGGGTGGCTTCTCTCTCGTCTCGTTATTCACATCGCAGTTACCGAACCCATGTCCTAGATCTCTCGGGAAAGTTAGTGTGTCTCCATCGTTTCATCCGTCCACTCCATCCCCCAGAGGAACTAATTGGTTAGTATGAATTTTCTTTTATAATTTCACCTAATCCTGTTTCAAATGTTAGTACTGTTATCAGCTGCATATGTTGGGGTACAGGTGACTAATGCTCACATTAATAAACATTATATTTCTTCCACTCTTTCACTTTATGCAGTATAGTATGATATAGCCTGAGTAGGTTAAGTAGGTTTGTGTCTGAGCTGGAATTCGGTAGCTTTCTGGTGCTATGTTTCTGGTTCCACAGAAACAGCCACAAAACTACCCGATCTCTGGACTTGTGCAGACCTTCCAAACAATGGGACTAAAATCTGCACTGCTCAGTTGCAAAAAACTGGCATCGGCCAATATGCCCTTTTCTGGGTAAGCCTCAGTGGCTTCCTGAAGCTGTGTTGCTGAGATGGCTTCCCATTACTGTCACATCATTCATAGTCATCCTGTTAGTCTTCTGAGACCAGAACTTGGACCCTGCGAAGAGGCACAGAGAGCAGGGTATTGTTTTGGTCGCCCTTACCCTTTGGCCGCCCTTAAAGAGTAGATGGGATAATACAGACAACTGCATGGTTCATGAAAATGTAGCAAGGAAACAGCCTAAAGAAACATTCAAAATTAAATAGTTCATGCAAAACTCTGTACTAAACACCTCCTAGTGCACTGAGCCTCCAACAGGTGGCATCTCAGAGCTCCCAGCTTCACGGCACAACCCGCTCAATCCGTAGCTGATGGACCATGAACCAGTGTACCTGGTAGGGAAGAGGGAGTCATGGACCCACCAAGGCTTATCAGGAAAAGAGCACTTCATCATATTCAATGTTGTTTTCTGGGGAGCCCTCTGGGTCCCTGAAGGCTTACAACAGAGAAGAAAAGAACATGCGACTTAACAGGGAGGAGAAGAGGAGGCAGCTTTAATGCTGAAGAAGAAACACCAGTCTGGGTACACCTGGCCCAGGGCAACACAAGCCCGAATATCTGAATATGACCAGGAACATTGACCAGTTATGTAGCCACCAAGACCCCTGTTAGATCTTTAAAACCCCTTTAAAATCTCTCAGAGGTGAGAGAAAGCCCAAGAAAACTTGCTGAGGAAGCATCAATGCCAAATCTCAATAAGAGCGCCTCCGGGAAAGCCAAGCGATATGAGGTGACTCTAATATGAATGAGATGCTGATCAACAAACAACCAGGACGAAAAAACAGCATTAAATGTAATGAAACACCACATTCTGGGTAAGCGCCTGAAGGCTCCCTGAAGATATTACATTGATTCAGTGCCATACTACTAGCTGCCATCAGTCAAGGAATTCTTATTGGCATACCCGGGACCATGAACCAGAACCTGGCCCCATCAAAGAGGTGCAGGGAATGGTGGCACTTTGAAAACATTACATTTAAAGTTATTTATGTCTGCCACCACCAGGAAAAGCACCAAGAAAGTCAGCGAAACAAAACGGACCACGGCATGGTTATAAACAAGACCGCAGCCTCAAAACTGCCAAAAGAGCTCCCTCAAATGTACACAAACTACAAAAAGTTTGTGAAACTAGCACACACTAGAACGCACCACCTCCCACCCTTGTCGTGTGGGGGAGAGGAGGGAGGCAGGTCGGGTTAGCTGGCTGCCTCCACCACCAGTTCTCATGATGATGGAAACACCCTGACACCCTGGGAGAAGGAGGGTGTCAGGGAGCCTCCGTGGGGCCACCCAGAAATTGGCATTACATTACATTCAACGCTGTTTTCCTGGGGAAAGCCCCTCGAGGCTCCATGAAGCTATCTACCCATAGAGTAGGAAAAAAAGGGCACACACCAGGGAAAGGTTCTTAGTGAGACAAACAAGCAGTGAACCACAACCAGGTCCTAGTGGTATGCAGGCAAAACATAGGAGAGAATGTACCCCCAGAGAAGTCATCACTGCCTGATGTTATAATGGAAGGGGACTCCCCTTCCAAACATTAACACCGCCCCTCTTCCCCCCTTTACTGTCAATGGGCGTTCAGCCTACCGGGAACCACGAGCCAGAACCTGGCCCCCTCAGAGAGGCAAAGGGAGCAATGGCCTATGGAAACCCCCTTTGTACTTGGGGGCATTCCATGTCTACCATCAACTGGGGTTAACACCCGGAAAGGTAGACATAACAAAACAGATCCTACATGATAAGAAAATATTTGCAGCCGAAGATCGAACAGAGAAGCAAAACTCCCTCAACCTAAAGAAACAAGCAAACAAAGAAACATCACACACCACCACCATGCTGCCTTTCCTTGCAGCTCCCCCCCCCCCCACCTCTTCTCCTGGTGTGCTGGCTACACACACCTTAAGTTCATTGGCTGATGAGATCTGGGGTGGTCGTCGACTCTGTCCTCAAATTCTTGGCAGTGATTGTACCTTAGTGGCTTAGTGGGGTGTCCTGCCATTTGTGGTGCAGTGGCCTGGAGAAATGTAACTGTACTGGGAATTATGCATACACTTAGGGCTACATTCCCTAAGTGCCTCATAAGTACTACCCTTGGGATCTAGGGTTACCTTCCATAGAGCTTTCGGGAACCGTTTCCATAGGGGTCTCTGCTGCTCTACATTTACCCTACCCTTTAGGCCATCTGGGGTTTTCATGGTCTTTGTTTAGCCTTGGGTAGAAAGTGGTATTTCCTGGTAGGGGCACAACCAGCCAATCTATGCAGTGGCCGGTTCCTGTTCCTTCTAGGGACGCTGTACTTTTGCAGGGTTTTTCTTTTATTTTTGTTTTCCTTGCCTCGAGGGGCTGGTCTGCCTTGTTCGGCTATTGGTCCACTTGAGGTATTATGGTGGCCCTCCTCTATGCCTCCGTGAGTTTACATGTCGCAGGAGTTCAGTCTTTAGCAGTTCTCCCTTGTTAGTTTGGTCCTTACCAGTTTTGCAGTACCTAGCCTGGGCTTCCTAAAGCAGACAGCCTAGAGGCCTTGGAAAACCCCATTGGGGCTCAGTTGACCAACGGATGCGTCTTCTGAGTTCCATTTCACCTTGTGCGAGTTTGAAAGTTGCTCTTGCTCTTTTCTCAGGGTTACAGTCGCCTGTTTTGCCTCCATCATGCTGCCTGCTGGGTCATCGACACCTTTGACCCTGAGTCTTGCAGTCGTGTTCACTGCTCGTACTCCAATTTACCCATTACATTGACACTGAGGTTCGAGTACAGGTGGCATCAACATTGCATGCTAGGTTTAGGTTGCTGCAATGCGCTAGGTTGATTACCCACTCGGATTCCCTGAGGCTGCCCCATTTTAGTTATAGGGACCCAGACTAGGAGGCGTTACTTGCTTCGACTTTGGTTCCGTCCGGTTGGTGATGTTCGCCCTGCTCTCCCCATCCCCCTGCTTCAAGCTCCCAAACGTCTGTGGGTTTCGGAGTCGGGGCGGGGTTTAGCTGGTGATGAGACTTGGGCGGCTTCGGGGGGCTGCTCCTTTCGGGTCAGGGACAGAGCCATTCAAGCCTGCTCCTCCTGCCGTGGCTTCTGAGTCCTACCAGTGGACCCTCTTCTTCTCTGTCTTTTCCCTAGAATTTTAGGGGACTCTACCCCTTTTCTTCAGGGCTAGAGGGTGTGGAGAATGACTCTGCCCCAGGGCCTGGCAGTTAGGATTTCCATGCAGAGGGTTCGGGTCGCTCGGGGTTCTACGATCTGGCTCCACTCTGACTGCTCTCCGGTGGTTCATTGCCTGAACCGCAGGGGTTCTCTTCGGTCCTTCGCTCTTTGGGGCTGGTCACTTCGAGTGAATCATCGGCTGATTTCTCAGGGTTTAGCTCTCCGTGCAGTTCACATCCGGGGAGTGTCCAATGTCCTGGCAGTTGGCCTGTCACGATTCATTCCACTGTCCACAGAATGGATGGTCAAGGCCCTCTCCTTCAGTTGGCTCTGCCAGACGTACGGGACCCCAGAGGTGGACCTTTTCGTGTCGGCGTCTCTCGATATATGTGGCGCCCTTCCCACATATGATTGATTTCCCACACATGTGATTTGATTGATCGAATGATCAATCAAATTACATTCAATGCTTGTTTTTCTCATTAAATTTCCATCATCTGCAAACAACGACATGTGCAAGCTTACTCCCTCTATGAGGTCACTTACATAAAGAGAGCAATGGTCCAAGGACAGAGCCCTGGGAAGTGCCACTCTCTAGCCTTTCATTCGACTTCTCCCCTCTGTGCATGGCTCTGGTCTCCAGTATGAGCTCCTGAAGCAGTGGAACCTGGCACAAACCAGGTGGATAACTCAAGGAGTTGCCGAAGGGGGCCGTTACAAAAAAAATTACTTGATTCATTTATCATAAGGCAAGCCTGTACATGCGTTATAATGGTTAAAGTCCTTCCCCAAAAACATGGAGAGAGAATAACTTGTAAGGGTTTCCAAAGATCTGGCTGATTGAGCAAAATCCCCCATGTATTGAATTGGCTGTGCTAAATGTAGTATGTTTGAGAGAGGTAAAGTGTATAAAGAGTAGCATAGGCCACCTCTACAAAGGAATCAAAGTTCAAAGGAAGAATGTTTTGAGGTATCAGATAATTAGCCTTATTTTGTCCTCTATGTCATACCACTGTTTGGCTTATGCACATTTTGATTTGTATGGCTTTTGTAGGAACAATAACCCCTGAACAAGTAAAGGATTTCCTGTATTATGATTTAGTAATCAAGTTACCGTATGGAATACTTTTACATAGCTATCACTATAGTTTTGTACAAGCCTAAGGTAAATTTATAATAATATAGTCATTGCCAACATATTACTGTTCCATTTCCTTGCAGGTGAAAACTTGGTTGAAACTGCGCATCGTGTGGCATGGTATGTTTCGTTGATTCCGTCCCTTGCAGATATGACTCTGTTCCCAGGGGCTTGTGACATATGGGCCAATTCTGAGGTAGGTCAGAGCTGAGGTGTGTCTACATGCAGACATACCATTTAAAAAAGTTATTGTACTCTAATGTCTTTTTATTATTATTATTTTCTGGGGGGGGGGGTGAAGCCCCTTCAGTTCCCCAGAGCTATCCGGGCTGATATGAATGTATTAGACCCTGGCATCAGTCAAGCGAATGGAGTTCTTAGGCCTACCAGGGACCACGAGCCAGAACCTGGCTCAGAGAGGTACGAGGAGCAATGGCCTATAGAAACCCCTGTGTGGTTGGAAGCATTCCATGTCTGCCATTGACCGGGTTAGGCACACAAAAGAGTTAGGTACCCCAAAACAAACCCTATCTGGTTAAAAATTGCCACTGAACGCCGATCTGTTGGACAAAACTCCCTAAACTAAATCAAGCATGACGTCACAACCATCACCGCCCAGCTGTCTGCGCAGCTGCCCCCCTCCCCAGGAGAGGGAAGGGGGAGCCCCAAACCTCCGTCCCGGCTATCCAACCGCACTTCTGTGGCCGATGTGAGGCTGGCAAGGTCGTGCGACTCTGGCTCCTGATTTCCATTCCTGTGCCTTGTGGTGTGGTGCTGTGCTTGGTGGTGCGAGAGCCAAGAGTGTATTCACAAGGAATCGGGTTGCATGCACCAAGGGGGGAGCCGGTCGGCCGAGCGGACAGCACGCTAGACTTGTGATCCTGTGGTCCCGGGTTCGATCCCGGGCGCCGGCGAGAAATAATGGGCAGAGTTTATTTCAGCCTATGCCCCTGTTACCTAGCAGTAAATAGGTACCTGGGTGTTAGTCAGCTGTCATGGGCTGCTTCCTGGGGGTGGAGGCCTGGTCGAGGACCGGGCCGCGGGGACACTAAAGCCCCGAAATCATCTCAAGATAACCTCAAGATAAGATAGGGTCACCTTCGCTAGGTGCCAGTAAGCACTGCCCTTGGGGTCATCTCCCACAAGTCACCTTGGGGGCTACCTCCACAAGGTATTTTGCTGTTCGGTGATTGGCCACCCTTGGAGTTAGTTGGGGTGTTTCTTTCACCCCTGTTTGCCTCTGGGTAGGGGTAGGATTTGCTTAACTGTCTCAAGTGAACAGCTCCTCAAACAAGAAGATTAGCATACATTCCCACTCACTTACATGTCCAACCCGCCCTTGCACCAATAGTGGGGCCCCACCACCACGTTACGTGGTACTTGGTTCTGCACATCACCGGGCCTGTTACTGTGCCGCAAGGGTGGCGTGTGCCACTATCCCAGTTTCTATTGTTTCGTGGAGATTGGTCAATTAACACAAACACTGAGGAACTACTTATCTTTTGTTGCATATACAGTAGTTGTGGGTGATCGTTGGCAGGCAATGGTGCGGGTTGGGCGCACTGTGTGTCGGTACGGTGTCTCGAATGTCTGTTCTAGACCACACTTGCAGGTAGACTAGTTATTATTCGCTACTCTGCTGGTTATATGCTTGGGCGCCGCCTCAGTTCCCCACAGGTTGGCAGGACTTTTTGTTGGATATACGGAACAGTTTGAGTTCTATCGTTGGTACTCTGTAGAGCTTTGCTTCTCTAGTTAGGCTCATGCAGTTGGTACGAGTATCTTCTTGGGATACTCTACTCCTTCCGCCACCCTTGTTCACTGTTCCATCCTTGTTTACTCTTCCCCGCTTGGCGGGATTGCGTCGATGGCTCCTGACTGGGGTGTTGGGTGTGGTGTTTGGTCACCTTGCGTGCGTCTTTAGTGCCTTTTGTCCATCTTTTGTTCTTTGTTGTCCTGTGGGGCTCTGCCCCGCATTTCGGTGCTTTTGTTTTCGTTGTAGACCCCTGGGTCTTTTCCCTGTCTGGACACTTTCCTTGCCTATCTTCGGTGCCTGACTGCACCCTCACATAGCCGAGGGAGAAATCATCTCAAGACCCTCATGATAACCCAGCTGTCCGTAAGGTCCCTCAGGTATGTACGCGCTCCTCTACACATTTTGTGGTTGGTCGTGTGCGTTACTTCCCGGCCGCTCCTTGGGCCGTATTCGTGGTTTTCCTTACCTAATTCAGTTTTTCCTCCCCCTTGCTACACTTTTTTGTGTATCTGGGTCAGTGCTTCTTGATTATCCTGTTTGGTGCTCCGGTGGACCTCTGTCCATGTTCCACGTCCTGCTTTTGGACTTCTCCGGTGTTCCGTTTTGGTACCTAGTTCCTGCGATTTCTGTGTGGTTTTCTGCAGGCTTCGGCTTGCGCTGTCTGTGGGGGGGGGGGGGTTGTGTGGACTTTTCGTTCTGCCGCTCCTGCCTTCCTGGTTCCTTTTCTTGGAACCGGGTTTGCTGGGTTCCGGTCCTGGTTTCGGTTTTTCCTTGTTCCTTTTCCGGACCGGGTGTGTTTGTTTTCCTGCGGTTCTCGTCCTCGGTGGTTCTCCTCTTGGATGCCTCGGGGATGTGTGTATCATTCTTCCCTGCTGGAGCTGGTTATGTTGCTCCTTTGGGTTGCGGGGTCGCTGTTTTTAGATTCGCGTTTTGCGCTTTCGATCGTGGTGTTCGTTTCTCGTCGTTTGTGTCGGCACAGGTGGGTTCGTTATTGGTCTCCCACCTGCACGTTTCGGCTCGGGGGCGGTGTTTGGTTTTCCTATCGCTGCGAAGGGTCCTTCGGTCTTTGATAGGGTTGGTTTGTCTTTCCTTCAGGGTTGTTCTGGAACCGTTGTCTGGGATTGTCCTGTCACCTCATGTTGGGTGGTGCTGGCAGAGCCGCTCCTGCTTGTGTTCAGTGTTGCGGTTCCTTCTGCTCCATTCCACTTGCTGTCCTGGGCATCGTTCCCCTCTGGCCTGCTCTTGAGTTTTGGGGCCGTCCTGGTCGTTGGCCTGGGTGGTCTTTTTTCGTCTCGTTTTGGTCTTTGTTTTGTCTCTGGTTTTGGTTGTTCAGTTAGGATGTGTGTATCCGCCTCCCGGTTTCTTCCCTGTTTTACTTATCTTTTGGTAAGGTAGCTCCGGGGAGCCGACGGGGCTTCCCCCAGAAAACCAGCGTTGAATGTAATGAAACGCCATTTTCTGGGTGAGTCCCGGAGGCTCCCTGGCATCCCTCCCTTCCTCCAGTCGGCGGCGTTTTCGCATATTTTGACATCCAGCCTAAGAACTGTCAGTTGGATCGCCGGCGTGGAGGATCTGGGGCTCCCCCTTTCCCCTCTCGGGGAGGGGGGGTTGCGCAGACGGTGGCGCGGCAACATGATGACGTCATGCTAGTTTGATAATTTTGTTTGGGGAGTTCTGTCCACTTGTTCGGCTTTTGGTAGCAATAATTTCACCAGAATAGGGGTTTGTTTTGGGGCGCCTACCTTTCTGGGTGCCTGTCCCGGTCGATGGCAGACATAGAATGCTCCCAATCACAAGGGGGTTTCTATAGGCCATTGCTCCTCGTACCTCTCTGAGGGGGCCAGGTTCTGGCTCATGGTCTCCGGTAGGCAAGAACTCCTAGCACTTTGACTGATGCCAGAAAGTTATACATATCCATTCAGCCTGGATAGCTCTGGGGAGCCTCCGGGACTCACCCAGAAAATGGCGTTTCATTACATTCAACGCTGGTTTTTTCAATAAAGTTTAATGGTCTTGCACCCATATAAAAATCAATGCACTTTAATCATCATTAACTTGTACTGTACTTGGAATAATTTTTTTTTTCAGCAATTTTTGACCATGTTGACTGGAGATGAAGAAGAGCATGCAGTCTTACTCACAAACTTCTTTCTTCATCTTGGGAAAGCAGCATTTCTTCTTTTAGGTGGGTTATGTTTATGGGTTTCACATCATAGAATTCAAAGTTATGAAAGCTAATAAAGCAATGTTGAATGTAATGAAATGTCCATTTTTAGGTGAGCCCCAGGGGCTCCCTGAAGCTACATACTGAGATGGTTCCCATCTACCAGGTCACATCAGCTGTGCCATTCTATATGCCTGGCCCCAGGCCGGGCTCGGGGAGTAGAAGAACTTCCGAAACTTTCTCCAGGTATGCTGCAGGTGTGCCTACTGGGCACCAGTGCCAGAACCTGGCCTTCTCATAGAGGTGCAAGGAGTGGTGACTTTTTGCCTGCTCACCAAAAAAGTCATCCAAAAAGTTATCTGGATTCAAGACCTTTCTGACTGACCTTTCCCAGAGTGTTACACTGGAGCAGAAATAAACTCGCACCCGATGACCCGGAATGGATTGGGGAAATCCAGGGTGTCACTGGGGCTTGCCTTGAAATAAAAGTTTCATTACATTCAACGCTGGTTTTCTGGGGAATAACCTCCCTTGTTGCACCCTGAAGCTATCTACCCATGGAGAATACATGGAAACTTATAAGGGAGGAGGGATTACCTCAGGAGTCAAGACGAAAAAGAGACCCCAGGATGAAAGATACGACCAAAGGCCATACAAGAGCAGTGAGGCCACCGAGGTTAATTTGGCAAATTAACATTCACCAAATACTGGGCTGCCAGAGCCCTGTTAGACCTCCAAAACACCTTGTACCCAAATATCGACCCAGGACATTAGCAAACATAGCCAAACGAGCAGCATACTTCCTAGCATCATTGAGACGAGGGTAGATCACAGGCTGGCTTGACTTAATAACATTGTGAATGACCTGAGATATACAAGCCTTGGAACAGGGAACCCAAGGAAACTGGATCAACCTGCAGAGCAGCCTCTGAAGCAGAATCGGTGCCATGACAGTAGAAGTGGAGAGCCGCCACTAGACATGGGGCATGATGCATTCCTGGGCAGATCAACCAAGGATCAATAACCAAAGATCTCCTCTGGAAGCCAACTGACTTACTCTTTGCCAGAAGAGGAGGAGCTGGCTGCAAATGAACAAAATGTCCACTAGAGCCACAAGAACAGAAACTGTGCCTTCAGAGGTGAACAAGAAGTTTCCTGACTGGATAACTGGAGGCAAGGGAAAGCAAAAAAATGCCTTGGAGAAGGAATCGTGGACTGAAGGGGATGCCTTAAAATTAGAAGAGGAAAGAAAAGGGAGAATGTGGTCCAAAGGCTAAGCAGGTTCAGGTGGCTCATGAGCAGACCTGAGGTGAAACAAAGCACGAGACAACCTGCAGAACAGTGTAGAAGTAGTATCAACACTGAACACAAGCTACAGGGGCTCCACCAGAACTGCACAATACCAGGCGACAGTACAGTATTTATCATGAGATGCCAATCAAGAAAAACTCAAGAAAGAAAGGAGAGTGTCCATGCACCCTGAAACCAATGAACAATGACCAAGGGGAAAGAAAGTGGCAAAAGGAATACCATGAATCCTCATACTGTCATTGAAAAAAAAGCACACAGGTGGGACACCATCAAAGAAGCCACCTGCTCGTCATAAAGAGGGTGATAAAGACACGTAGAAAAGCAGACATGAAACACCGAAGTCAAACCAGTGAAATATGTCACTGGGCTGACCTGAAAGAAGCAGAGCCATGGAAAAATGCCAGGATTTGGACATCAAACAAGCAGCACTTGAAACCAAGGCTGAGCCAGCAAACAATCTGTTTCCATCAGTTGAATTGATGGAAACAGTTCCATCAGTTGAGACAACAGTCCTCCCAGGAGGGCATAGAATCCAGGGCGCAGACTGAAGAAGTCCAGAAGAACTGCAGAAGCGAAAGGCCCATGACTGCAAGGAGCAGACGGGAACCCCACAAGGATGGGGCGGATCGACCACCTCCAACGCACCCACTAAGATGACATGACGAAGCGCAGGGGAAGAAGCCGTGTACCGACTCCACCAGAGGGCGGAAGACAACTAAAAGCGCCCACCAACAGCGGGACCATGCGAGAGTCAGCAGAGCAAGCTGCTCCCCTAGCGCCCAAACAACAGAGAAGGGAACAGAACCCCTTCCGAAAGAAAAAGTACACACACATACACATTATGTATATACACATACATATACATATACACAAACACACAAGATATGTTACACACACGTGTGTATACACATGTGCACACACACACACACACACACATCTGGGGACATGATCACCACATTCAAGATTCTCAAGGGAATTGATAGGGTAGATAAAGACAGGCTATTTAACACAAGGGGCACACGCACAAGGGGACACAGGTGGAAACTGAGCGCCCAAATGAGCCACAGAGATATTAGAAAGAACTTTTTTAGTGTCGGAGTGGTTGACAAATGGAATGCATTAGGAAGTGATGTGGTGGAGGCTGACTCCATACACAGTTTCAAGTGTAGATATGATAGAGCCCAATAGGCTCAGGAATCTGTACACCTGTTGATTGACGGTTGAGAGGCGGGACCAAAGAGCCAGAGCTCGACCCCCGCAAGCACAACTAGGTGAGTACACACACAGCGTACACATGTACATGCGTACACACATACATACATTGCAAAAAGAAAAGTACCAGTCACCGACTAGTGGGCAGAGAGCACCACGCAGGCCAGGCAAAGAAGGCACAAAACTGCATCAAAAGGCCCACCTCGACAGCAAAACCTCAAAGTCCCAGCACAACCACAACATGTGCCAAGACCCAAAAAGATCAGTCTGCAAGCCAGGAAGACCCCGGAACCCCAGAAGGCAGAACCAGGTCACACAAGGAAACAAAGCCCCCTGAACCCACAAAGGGGGCCCCAAGAGGAAGAAACCTCCGGAACGAAACCAAAGAACCCAAAGGAACCCAGAATCGAACCAGGGGGAGCCCAAACCACCACATTTGCCGGCGGAGAACACCACAGAAAGGCAAAGCACAGCCCCCAGACAGAACCCCCTGGGAAAACGGTCATAACAGACCTAAAACCGAGGGACAAGGTGTGGGAGCAAGCATACCAGCCAGGGGACACCGAGTCCAAACCCAAAGGCCCAAACCCAAATCAGACAAAATGGAAAACCCGGTGTAAAATCAACACCCCAAACGTTCCCAGAGGAACAGGCAACGGGCAGAAAACACCAGAAAAGCAAAGAAACGACAACAGGAGAATAAAAACCCCTGAAAAAAGGTGAAAACTCACCCAAGAAGCTCGCTCGCACACCCAGTCGCATGTATACAAACCGCAACGCCGCCCTGGTGGCCATGCCAGGAAACCGGCAGACGAAAATGGCCGAGCAGGGGCTGTGACTGACGCTAAAGATACAAAAACACACCAGCAAAAGTGGGAAGCAAGCAGACTGGATGGGCGAAAAACGCCGCCCAACAGCAGAAAACCCCGGCAGGGGCAAACCGCCCCAGAACTGCTAGCAGGCATCCCCCACAGCCCCGGGAACCAACAACAGAGGCCCCGGGGCAGAGCCATCCTCCAAGCCCTCCGCCCTTAAAGAAAAGCAAGAGTCCATGGGAAAGGCAGCAAGAAAGGGCTGCTGGTAAGACCCAGAAGCCTTGTCAGGAGGAACTGGCTTGAAAAAACTCCGTCCCCCAACCCGAACAGGGCAGCCCCCGAAAACCGCCCGAGTGTCAGCCCCAACTAAACCCTGCCCCGACCCCGAAACCCACAAACAGTCCGGAGCCGGGAACAGGGAGGGAAAGGGGCGAACAGCCTCTTTTGGCCTCGGGGCATCCGAGTGGGAAACCAACCTAGCATGTTGCAGCAACCTAACCTAGCTTGCAATGCTGCCTGTACTCTGAACATTAATAACATCAGGAGAGTAATGGAGAACAAGCAGAGAATCTCTCGCAAGACTCCGGGTCAAGGTGTCAGTGACCCAACAAGCAGCATGACAGAGGTAAAAGTGGCGACTGTCACCCGGAGACAAGGGCACAGCAACCAACGATCCTGTACAAGATGGGTTGGAACCCGTAAGACACATTCAATGGTCCACCGAGCCCAGACAGGGGTTTCCAGGGCCCGTAGGCTGACTGCTACGGGAAGCCCGGGTAAGGTGTTGCTAACCGGTTAAGAAACCCAAACATAACAAGAGGGTAGAGGATAGCACTGAAAACCCCTGCGACGTGTACAATCACGGGGGCCTAGCAGAGGGCCGCCAAACACTACTAGTGGAACTATAGCCACACTAGGCAGACCCCCACCAGGCATGAAAATAAAAACAAAAGAAAAACCCCACAAAAGTACACCGTCTCCAGAGGCAACAGGAACCGGCTGCCGCTTAGGTGGCAGGCTGTGCAACACCTTGACGCCCTAACCAGCACAATACCAATCCCTTCCCAGGGCCAAACAAGGGCCCGAAGCCCCAGCTGGCCCCAAGGGCGAGGCAAATGCCGAGCAGCAAGAACCTCTACGGGAACGGTTCCCGAATGCCCCCAGGGAAGATAACCCTGTTACGCAAGGGCAGTACTCACAGGGCGCTTAGGGAAGTCAGCCACTAAACACATGCAGCCCCGGCACTGATGAGGTACTCCTGGCCACTGCACAACACAACACACAGCAGTAAACGTCACACAAGGCAAACACCGCCTAGGAAACTGAGGCCAGAGAAGCGTCTATCCCGGTTGACATTAGCTTACGAACTGAAGCTTGGCAGCCGGCGCGGTAGGTCAGGGGCTCCCCCCCCTTCCCCTCTCGGGGCGGGGAGGGCTGCGCAGATGATCGGCTCGGCAGTAAAGTGTGATGTTTGCTTGTTTCCTTGTGATTGTAGAGTGTTTCTACCTCTCTGTTCGGTTTTTTGTTTTACCATGTGGGGTTTGTTTTGTTATGCCTACCTTTCTGGGTGCCTAACCCCGGTCGATGGCAGAAAAGGAAAACCCCAACCACAAAGGGGTTTTCCAGGGCCATTGCTCCCTAAAACCTCTCTGAAGGGGCCAGGTTCTGGCGCTGGTCCCTGGT